ATTGATTAGCTCCGCATTGGGTAAGCAGGAGAGAGGATTGATTAGCTCTGCATTGGGAAAGCAGGAGAGAGGATTAATTCGCTCCGCATTGGGTTAGAAGGAGAGAGGATTGATTAGCTCCGCATTGGGTAAGAAGGAGAGAGGATTGATTAGCTCCGCATTGGGTAAGAAGGAGAGAGGATTGATTAGCTCTGTATTGGGTAAGCAGGAGAGAGGAATGATTATCTCTGCATTGGGAAAGCAGGAGAGAAGATTGATTAGCTTTGCATTGGGAAATCAGGAGAGAGGAATGATTAGCTCTGCATTGGGTAAGGAGGAGAGAAGGGGTAGAATGGTTGTCCCTTGCACTCGTTCAGATGACGGGGAGGAATGGTTTGGCCCATGCACCCGTTGGGATGAGGGAGTAGAATGGTTGGCCCATGCACTCTTTAAACGAGGGGGTGAGGAATAGTTAGCCCATGCACTTGTTAGGGAGGGGAGGAATGGTTGACCCATGCACTTGTTAGAGAGTGGAGGAATGGTTTGTTGCCCCTGCTGAGCCACGTCCCTACCTAGAAGGGAGTCTGTTAAAATACAGAAAGACCCATTTCCCACCCAGTAACCGGACGACACACTGTCCTGGGGGTACAACAACAACTTTATTGGCCACATGCGTGTTTGTACTTTTCCCCATGCAAGGGGTGGATCACCCAGAAAGACAATGTCCCCTCCCAGGGGGTCGCATAACGGATCCGGAACCCCAGTCCCTTTGTTCTCTGTTACCGTCACTCAGTGTCCCCTCCCAGGGCCCTCCACCTTCCAGGGGTCTCCTGACGGAAATGGAACTCCTGTCCCCTGTTCCCGCCACCCATCCTCAGGGTTTCCCACCTCCGGGGCCAGGGGGTCTTTATCCTGGCAGCCCCAGCGCGGGAAAGCTTCCTGCCTCCTGGACTCCCAGTTACAGCCCACCAATCTCAGGGACCCCCAGAAATGTGACTGCCATGAACAGCCTCCATTCACGGTGTCCCTAGGTAAAACCAGGCAAGGGGAGGCATCTCCTTTCGGGACATGAATGCCCCCCCGGCCATCTCCCAACTATACTAACAGCGGCCACCCAGGGGAGCACTCATCAATTACTTCCCTTGCGGTTTCACACTTATGTTGCAAGTTGCCAACCTTCTAATTGATTGGTGCGAACATTCCAAAGGTCCTTGTTTGGGAACCATACAAAGTGGGAAGCAATCCACGAATGCTCCCCCTGGGGAGGCACCTCGCTGAGGATTCCCTTGTGGTTTTGACACCTTGTTAAGAAGTGTGAACGTTATAACCAAACATTTTAAATGAGTTGTCGGGGTGGTCTCAGTTCGGGAGGGGAATGCATTCTCTTTATGTTGAACCTCCCGAATGGGGAGCATACACATTCATAAGAAATGTACAGGGAAAAACACAGAATATAACACAGAAATTCATGAACAGGCAGCGGTCCCGCCACATGGTTGGCCCATGCACTTGTTAGGGAGGGGAGGAATGGTTGGCCCATGCACTTGTTAGGGAGGGGAGGAGAGGAATGGTTGGCCCATGCACTTGTTAGGGAGGGGAGGAGAGGAATGGTTGGCCCATGCACTCGTTAGGGAGGGGAGGAATGGTTGGCCCATGCACTCGTTGGGGAGGGGGGGAATGGTTGGCCCGTGCACTCGTTATAAAGGGGAGGAATGGTTGGCCCATGCACTCGTTATAAAGGGGAGGAATGGTTGGCCCATGCACTCGTTAGGGAGGGGAGGAGAGGAATGGTTGGCCCATGCACTCGTTAGGGAGGGGAGGAGAGGAATGGTTGGCCCATGCACTCGTTAGGGAGGGGAGGGGAGGAATGGTTGGCCCATGCACTCGTTGGGGAGGGGAGGAATGGTTGGCCCGTGCACTCGTTATAAAGGGGAGGAATGGTTGGCCCATGCACTCGTTATAAAGGGGAGGAATGGTTGGCCCATGCACTCGTTAGGGAGGGGAGGAGAGGAATGGTTGGCCCATGCACTCGTTAGGGAGGGGAGGAGAGGAATGGTTGGCCCATGCACTCAAGTAGGGAGGAGGAGAGGAATGGTCGCCCATGCACCTCGCTATAAAGGGAGGAATGGTTGGCCCATGCACCTCGCTTATGAGGAATGGTTGGCCCATGCACTCGCTATAAAGGCGTGGGAGGAATGGTTGGCCCATGCACCGCTATAAAGGGGAGGAATGGTTGGCCCATGCACCTGCGAAGGGAGGAATGGTTGGCGATGCACTGAGGAATGTTTGGGGCTTACGCACCCGCTGGGGAAAGGAGGAATGTTTGGCGATGCACTCGGGGTGGAGGATGGTTGGCTTACGCACCTCGCGAGGAATGCTACATGCACTCGCTGAGGGGGGGGGTGGCTGGGCCCATGCATTCGAAGGGCAGGAATGGTTACGATGCACCCCTGGGGCGGAATGGTTGGCATGCACCGCTTAAGCAGGAATGGTTACGCATGCACCGCTGGGGAGAGAGGGTGGCTGGGCCCATGCACCGCTGGGGAGAGAGGGGTGGCTGGCCCATGCACCGTTGGGAGAGTAGAGGAAGAATGGTTGACCCGTGCACTTGGGGTGGTTATTGGTAGGGTTCGAGTGGCATTCATTTAAGCCTGTTTGCTGCCACAGGCCCCAGCAACCAGCCATGTGCGGGAGGTGACAGAGCCACCTCGCCCCTTGTATCCTTGTACCCGGCCCTGGAGTGCAGAGCCATCATGCAACATATGTCTCCCACAGCTTTTGGTGAGTGTTTGACACTATGGCATGGTCTGCCTGCGTCAGGCACTGGGGGGGGCGCGACCCTTTATGCCTCTAACAGTAATAATTATTTTCCTCAGGACTTCATTGGGATGAAGATGAAATTCTGGCTAAAGTTTTGGCTGTATCACAGCAGGAATACTTGGACACGGTGAAGAAAACTTCCTTACGCAGAGAACCGTCCCCCGACCACAGCTGATATCCTGGAAAATTATTTTGGCTGTTCACTGTCCTGCCTAGGGCAACCTGTTATTTGTGCAATGCACTCAACTCCTGTCCTTCACTATGTCTGTCCGTGCTTGCCATCCCCTCCCTCTCTGTATCATGCTCTTCCTGTGACCTCCACATGTGTAAATGTACTTTACAGTTACCCCACCGAGGACTTTATAGCTGCATGCGACGGAGGAAATTCATCCATGAATGGGATGCTGCCTGATAGGTGCTTTTTAACCCAAACCTCCTTCCTGTTCCCTTGGCAGGGGAAAGCCTGACTTTGTGTCCCCACCTTTACATTTTGGACCGTAGTACACAGGGGAGATTTGTTTTTTAATTAAAGACTAAGTCGGCAGGTGTGTTCTGGGACTCTCCACACGTGTACCACTTTTGTAACTTTTTTTTATTTTATTTTTTTTGTATCTTATTAAGAGGAAGATCCAATCACTTAGGAATAACTTTTCTTATTAAGAAGGAAATACCCAATGAAAAAAGAAGCATTATTGGTACTGCTTGGAATTAACGAGGGTGTCTGTGGTGATCATGTGATGTGTCGGGAGCTCGGCTCTCGGACATTCGATTTCACTGGTGCGTGACTGTCACAATATGCGCTCTGCCTCAGAGACATTGATTTAGGGACACAGGAGCTCTGGCAATAATGATTCTGAAGAGGCCACTTTCATGTGGATCCATGTTTCCTGGACGAGATGCTACATGGTGAACGCTGTAATTAAACTGACTGCCAGTGCCACCTGGTTTTGCTATATGAGTGAATGTTGCTGCACCTGTGTGTTTGATAAGCACATGGGAAGAGCAGTCGTATTGCTCTGGGAAGGACGACACAAAAGAGAGGATCCTGGTAACAGTGGGCAATGTTTAAAGGCAGTAGGGCTCTATCTCCCTGATGTGGCTAAATGAGTGGGACATTCCATTAAATAAGCATAGGTGAAGACAGATGTAATATACCAACGAGGGCTTACTTTGTGCTGTCTATAATCCAAGAATTCATCAAATGAGCCAGACCACCTGCTGTGTACGCCTGGTGCGGGCTCCAGCAATTAATGGCAGATAGAACAGAAATGCCACCCAGTGTTTACAGGATACAGTCAATGTATTAAAATGTCACTGACTTGGTATGTGTCCGTCAAAGCCAGGACGAGCGGAAGCTGAGTTACTATGTACAGCTAGCTGCACTGTGCTATACACGTTATTAGATCCTGCTATTGCGCTAAAAATACCCACCATCCTATTCTGGCATTATATGTACTGTGTACAAAAAAAGTCGCATTTAGAATTAAAAGAAAGAAAAAAAAATATTTTGCCTCTTTGTTCTCCTATAAGACTTGTTTGGATACTCTGAGAGGGGTATCTTTGTGAGCGTTCTTCTTGAAGGGGGCAGCTTTCTGTCAGCCTGGTCTCTGGCGCTTCCTTTCAAGTCGTGCCTCTTTGCCAGCCTAATGTATAAAAGGTGGAAAGCAAGTTTGGAGAGAGCTAGAGGGTCCACACAGGTTGCACTTGGGGGATATACTGTATAGATAATACTCATAGACTTTTCATCCTTCTCTCTAAGCTTGCAATACACTCTTACGTACATTTCTATGTTTTGCACCGTAAAAGGTGACATTCGTAGATTAAACCACAATTTGATTGGTTCATCGCTGGAGAAAAGAATTTGTGCACAAGTTGTCTGTAAACGTGTACTATACTGGTGTTAGGAACAGTCTCCATTATACAATCTGCTTCACTAAACTCTGCCTTGACAGAACACAAATCCAAATGGAAATCTGTGACCTTTGGGATTATACGTGCAAGTATAATAATGAGACAATAACACAGCTTAAACATTGTATGCACACATAAGGAAAATAGAAATATATAAAAGGCACAATAGACATCACAAACCTATACAGACAGGTGAATTGGGCGACATGGTAAAATGAAAAGTATCTGATGTGGCTATGGATACTGCATTGTTGTGGTGACATGCAGGGGTCAAGTCGTGGGAACTCACCCAAGATTTCCAGAAACCCCCCTCTAGCGTATCCCATGCGCAGAGCCCTGCTGTACTGATCTCATATTGGTGAAGTAACATGTTTGTTTTGTGCAGTGCCAATGAATGTAATGTGCACTGCATTTGTTGGTGTCTTGTCTCTGGACTACACATAAGTAGGATACCATAGAACAAATATGGACAGGGCTGGTGTGTTTGTAAAAGGCATTTTCTTGTGTGCTTTGTGTGTAAAGGTCTGTTTGAGGTGTGCTAGGTGCCATAGTATGTGTGTGTGCATGCAAGTATAGGGCTGTAGAGATTCTGTGTGTGTTAAGGGCTGCAATGTATGTGTATTGGGGTTGCATTGTGTGGGTGTGTAGGGGTTTTAATGTTGAAGTATAATGGGTATTATGTATGTCTGGGGGTTGCACTATGTTTGCTGTGGGGTGTATAGTGTGCACGCTCATTGCTCTGTGTTTCGGTGTCAAATAGAGGCTTTAATAATCGACTAACTTTTTTTAAAAATGATATCCTCCTTGTTCTTCTTTTGGAGGGGAGCATTCCGCGGGCTGCCTATCCCCCGGGTGCAGCAAGGGGGCCAGGAAATTTATCTTTTGGAGCCCTGGCAGTTACAGTCTGATTGCTGTGGGTTAACATGGTAACACTCGGACACTGGGAGTGGGAGCTCACGGGGAGGGGGAGACGTGTAGAATTATTTTACAAAGTAACAAATACAATGTAGAACAAAAATGTCCCCCAAATCCAGCACTACGTTCCTAGGAATAGTGGGCATCTTCCAAGCATGGGGGCAAACTGTGCACCGAGGGCATCCTTGGCACAGGTGAGTTTCTGCATGTATGATTATATTGTTTTATCTCCAATAGTAGAAGATTTTGGCATTCGTTAGGACTTTGGTAACTCGTAAGATTGATCAGCTTAGGTCTAGTAGAAAGGTATAAATATAAAGTAAAAAAGGCACATTATCTCTGGAGACAATAATCAAGGCATCTCTATGTATGACTGCAGGGGCTGTATCAGGACAATAAAGCCCAGTATTCTGTTGCAATTAAGCCCTTGAGCCTGTTTTAAGCAGTAAAATAGGGACTCAGATCCTACCAAGAAAACCCATCAAATCATTAGATGCAACCAATTCAGTAATGCTCCACACCTTGAGGTTTGTCCAAAGCCTCTTCCTGCAGGATAAAACTGATTGTGTTTTTTGAATGCTTAGACGTCATGGACTGGTGTTTGCCTGCCATTGTATAACCATGGAGATATTAGATCCGGAAATCTCTCACCATCGCCATTTCACAATTAAAATGGGAGCAAATTATTTTTAGAAGTTCCAAGATGTCTTCTTTTGTAGTAGGTGAATCGAGGTAAGTAAAGGGATTTTCGTTGGCAGGAATATTGTCCAGTGTGTCTAGGCCGTTATTATCTGAAGAGGTGGAGCGACACTCCGGTTTGTGCGCCATTTTTGCCTGTGGATTTTGTAGTAACAAGAAATATCTGGATGATTCACCCGACTAGGCTTTCAACTTCTTATTCCGTTGCCCATGTTGATTATTGATGGCTAAAAAAAATAAAGTTGATTTGGTGGTAAAAAATGAAAGAATTAAAAAAATGTATTCCTAACATTAGTTTCTTAATAAACGTTTAGGTAACCAGGCCAGCGCAGATAGGATTTATTTACCTTTCAGCTCTCGCAGTGCCAGTCTTCTCCATGAAGCACCACCTCTTTGGCAGAGATCATCAATCTTACTTTCCCATAGGAAAGCATATGGAGGCTATTGCACATGCACGTCTGACTAAAATAGGGTTTAGTGGAGCCCTAGTCCTAGCAGGTACTCTTTGTTACGATTGCCCCCGGTCTAGCAGGAGGGTTGATCGCTTGGATGTCCTGGTTCCCGCTGCAGAGAGTCGAACGGAGGTCTTTCGGTAGTAAGCTGTAAGTGTAGAATATCCCCATCCCTACAACATGAGTCGAGGCTGCAACATCAATATCCCGGATCCCTACAACATGAGTCGAGGCTGCAAGTTGAGGGTCAAAACGAACTGGCTTTACTGGCACATAGCATGGCAATTTATGTGATTCCTCAGGTCCAAGGACAGCCCCCTGTGGACCTGATGGAATACAGGTACAGTACAGACACATATCCAATCACAGTACAGTGTATCCTTTGAATTAGTACCCGCCCAGCTTGGAGATAATGAGGCCAACGGTTATACAATCTAATTATCTCCAAGCGCACCAAAGACCACGTTTTATTATGTCCCAGAAAACTGCATAAAAATCCATAACTTTTACATTAATAAAGACAAACCCCGCATTCTACCATTCATCTGAAGGCTCGCGTTCGTGTAGATAAAACAGGCGAATGGCGCTCTAATCTCACGAACAGAATGGACTGTTCCTGCCGTATAAAGTCCGTTCGGCATTTTGAGATTGTGAGTCTTTGTTGGCGGCCATGTTTTCTGCTGATTTAGCGAGCAGCGGGACTTCGTGTCTAACTCGTGGAACTAAACTCGGTATCAGTTCATGCGAAGTCCCGCTGTCTGGCTGGTGGTGGGCTCGTTCGGTAAGGGAATGAGGACCACCTGGGAGCAGGGTACTTGACCTGCGGTTAACCGCAAAAACCACAAGTTAACGAGCGCCACACGACCCGCTGTAGGGGGTCGTCGTTCGGTTGATAGTTCGGTATTTTCCCTTCGGTACTTTGGGTGCGAACGTCGATGCCCCCAGGCCTACCAATTACGTTGTGGTTAACCGCAAACCGCAGGCACCTGGGTGGTTAATGGCTGCCACACTCCGGGGGCCGGGTAGTCGACCGTTCGGTAGTTTGTGGGGTGACGGGGTTAAGTGGCGGCACACGCCAGTTTGTGGGGGGTCCCCCGTTCGTACCATGAATGGAGCCTTCATAAGGGCTCGCATAATCCATTCGTGTGGTTTTCTGCTTAACTTATGCAGTGGCAAACAGTATCAATCGGTGAGTTAAAACAGCAACATAGTGATTTCCAGTCTTTTGTAACACTCTTCTTCACTGGATCCACAAAAGTATACTCTGGAACAAGTAAAACACCAGAGTACTATCCCACCTCCTCCCCAGCAACTGGACGACACACGGTTCTGGGAGTTCAACTGAACTTTGTTACATACATGGCTTTGGGGCCCAGTCCCATGCAAGGGGTTTCAATCCCAGGATCCTCTGTGCCTGGGAGTTAATTGCCTGAGAAAACTCTATAATTTAATTATCTCCTAGGTACAGGAAATCCAACAAAATATCCTGTACCTCAACCATACCTAAGAACCCCACGAAAAGTACACTCCCCTATAGCCCTGATCTGAGTGTCCAACATATCCAAGAATCACTCAGATCGGTTTGACAGAAGGAGAATGCCATCGTGATAAAGTTTTGACCGGCCGGTCTCTGTTTGTGAGGTTCTTATGCAAACACAACGCGAAGGAATTTGTTTGTTTATTTCAGGATAAGAATGCTCTCCCTGTTCGGTAGTTAATATCTCCTAAACATTGTTCGTGTAGGTGGCCGGGAACGGGCAGCGCGTGTTCACGCGAGTGCCTAGCCGAAAAGAGTTCCAGGCACGTGACGACCAAGAACCGCTGCCCACCTTCAGGAGAAGATGGCAGCCATTCTCTCTGCCACGTGTTCAGTTATACGAAATGGCAGCCACCCAGGGGAAGCACTCATTAATTGTTTCCTTTGCGGTTTTGCACTTAAGTGGCTGGTGTCAACGTTCTAATGGGGCACAGGGTGGTCCCCGTTCGGGAGACGAACAGCCAAAGAGGAACAACACGAAACGGGGAAGTTCTGCAACAGGGGCGTACGGACAGCTGAAAAAGCGTAAAATAAAGTGTCTAGCAAGCGTCCATTCTGCTACACCGTGGAGATTTACCCTGGGAGGGCATACCATGGCTTGCGGTGGCGGGTAGAGATTTACCCCAGGAGGCCATACCATGGCTCGCAGTGGTGGGTAGAGAGCAAAATTTATGCATACTTCAGCAAAAGAAAATCCTGTATAAATATTTTAATACTAAACTCATGCAGATATGAAGAGATGATACAAGTTACCTTTGACCTCTACAATTACTAGAGGTGCTCAAAGTGTTTGTCATTGGCATCCAGACACTGATTAGTATGGAAAACGGCTGCTCGGGTAATGTTGCCCAACGACTCCAGTGGGATCGCTACAGAGCTGTGTTTGACACGGTGTGTGTGTTACACGGGGTGTGTAGGTGTGTTACATTGTGTTGTATGCGGTCTGTACAGAGGTGTCACACAGTACAATGTCACGTGACTGCACAAGCCCCTCCAATTTCTCCAGTAAGATGGCAGTTACACCGTGTGTGTGATTTACACGGGATGTGTGATTTACACGGTGTGGGTGTGTGATTTTTGTCAGTATACTTACAGTGGCAGACATTTTGTAAGACAGAAATTAAAGTGTATACTGTAAGTCACCTTCAGAACAGAAGTGACTCCATTTTGTATCAATGCAAAGACGGACACATTTTTTTTTCCCTCTGTACTCTAGTCACTCAAGCCTGAACTAAGGAATGCGAGTAATGTAAACATTGGCAGAGGTAAGACATGATGTCTGCAGCAATGGGGGTTTAACACAACAACCCAGAGACAAATTATATATATATATATATACACACACACACACACACACTATCCACATATAACAAACTATAATTATATTAATCATATATATATAGTACTAAGTTAATCATAGAATATTCATGGATATAATATCAATGAAGAAATGTCATATTATTTAGTGGAATATGTGTTATAGACATGTATAAATCACATGTGTAACATTACTATGTGCTACACACAGTTTCACACAAGAAAACCAGACACAGGATTACCAATGACAGATAACACTAAGTAATTCATTTTACTTTTTAAAAACTAATGGAATCTTACAAAGTTCTATTGTATAGAGAGGTGAAGAAGAGTTTAGGACGTGTCAGAAATCTAACGTATAGCCAAAATTGCAGACACAAGTCTGGTTGAATCCAACCAAACCTTTTTGAAGTGCGACAGCTTTTTGATAGACGTCAAACGTATCACGAAATTCGGTTAACCTATTACACAAAAAGGTAAATGGACCCCCTGACAAGAATTTTCTGTGATGTAATTGTGCCATCTACTGACCAAAATCTAGCTGATTGTCTGTAGGGAAGACACGCCCACATTACTCATTTAGTCACTATCAACTAGTGGCATATAGAGAACTTTTCCTTTAAAAATTAAGGACAAAGTAAAGAAAGGGACTCTCTGAGGATGGACTGACACCTAACATCTGACATCTGGAGCCAAAGCTGGGCACACCTAATTCTTTGTATCTTTTCCAACTAACACTTAACTTGAAAAGTTTTCAGAGTTCTGAATTTTATATTTTTACACAATTCTCTATACTCATACCTGCATTCACCATTTTTGGGATACATCTCCAAGCCTAAAAAAAGAAACTCTACCAAGAGCTGGTAATTATACTGGTTTTATTAAATTAATAGATTTTTCTAAAAGGCAGAATATACTTGGATAAAAGCTGGTGATTCCAACATTAAGGAGTCATGATACATTAATAATATATAGAATTTGTAATTCCATACCTGCAGGTGGACCAATGAACTCTATATCACTTTTAACTTTAAAAATAGAATACCAGGCAATTATCCAGATATATTAGGTTACGTAATTAGGAAAGTTAAAATTCTGAATATGTAAAACCTGGTTCGAATTATTCTTATTGGATGAGAAAGAAATGGTTCACTGATCTGGTATGAAAAATATTGTATTTGTCGTTGCAATATAAAAGGATATATTGCTTATGAGAATTGTATAGCCGTAAAGAGTTAATTCAGTGTGATAAGATTGTCGGACAAAGTTTTTATTGTTTACACTTTGCTGCTGTAAGATGCTGCGTTTCTGTGTTCAGGAATGTTTAGCAAGCTGATTTCAAAGTAAAAAGTCCTGTCATAAATCTTGTTGAAAACTGCATACGTGTCGGTATAATGTTGCTGTAACAACAAGCACAGTATGACTGCAAAAGACAAAGGGATTATACAGCCGTTCGGTATTTTTGTAAGCATTCACCATGCAAATGCTTACCTGCCTTAACAGGCCACCCTGACTGCTAATTATGGCCAATTTACCTCCCTGGTTGATGGGCACTTTATTCGAATCAACCGCACGAACGCTATGGGAACTGTAAGCTCAGCCGCCATTTCGGGACTTCCACGTGTTCGCGGCAATTTTAACTCCCGAACAGCGGTGTTTGCCGATGAATGTCTGGAACTAAAATCGGACACTCAAACAGGCGAACACCGCTGAGACCTCCATACCTTCGGGAAAATATCACCAAATCTACCGAACCCAGGATGGTATACGGATGGCCGGCCGTTCGGGAGTTTTTACCCACGTTCTTAGACCGACTGCAGGGCCAGCATTCATGGAACTGTTTTCGGCTACTGTACCCGTGCGGTCGGTCAAAACTTCTAAGTCCTATATCTCCCGAACGGCTGAACCGATTGAGCTGATTTTTTTATATGTTGGTACCTGACATATAAGCTATCTGGGGTACATCCAAACTTTGGGGGAAAACTGTTCTTTTTTAAATCATGTTATGTGGTTATCTGAGGGGAGGGAATTTACCGAATGTATATTGTATGGATTGGTTGTACTGCTAATTATGTGGGTGTCTCCCTTGCATGGGCAGAATCCCATAAAAGCAGAGTGTGTGTCATTAAACATCAGTTCTTTTTGACCCTTCAAAACATAGCCTCGTCTCGTTCAGATCAGTGAAGTGAGATTCAAAGTTTTTGTCGGACAAGGTGGTAGGAGGGGGGTGTAAAAGGACGAAGAAGAGCATCAAAAGTGTGGAATAGGTGTTTGGGTTGATGGGACAGTGTACTTATGTAATGTGTTAAAGTAATTTACTTTTGCATCGGAAAGACCCAGGCTGTAGGAGCGCAGCATAAATTTATAGTGGAGGAAGTCAGATGCAAAGTGAGACTTTCTCCAGCAGCGTTCAGCAGTTCTAGAACATTTTTGGAGGTAACGGGTCAGCTTGGTGTGCCAGGGTTGTAATTGAGGGTGCTTGCTGCGTTTAATTGTAGGAGGTGCCATGATGTTGAGTTTAGAGGAGAGAGTTGAGTTGTAGAGTGAGGTAGCAGAGTTAGGGCAAGTTAGATTAGAGACGGGTAAAAGGAGTTATTGAGTTTGTTGGAGAAATGCTGGAGATCAAGGCAGCTGAGTTTTCTGCAAGATTGGAGAGTTGAGGGTGGTGACATTTGGGTACGGGATATGCTGATGTCAAATGTTAGCAGATGGTGGTCAGACAAAGGAAATAGTGGAGATTGAATTTATAGATTGAACTATCTATAAATTGTGTTAAATCACTGCCATTTAGTATACTTATGCTATACCTACATATTCAGTGATTACTCTCACGCATGTTACATATTATCATTAATTGTTGCAATAAATTATATTTTTATAATTAGTTTGTCATGTGTGAAATAAAAATCCTTCAATAAAACGTACTCCAGAATCTATGAGAATTAAAAAATATTTGCAATTTGCACCTTTAAGCATTTTATATGATCATCTAACAATTAAAATTGCTTATAAAGATTGGGTACTCCGAATTATAGAACAAGTTCATATTTCGACTTATGATTGAATAATGTACCTCTAATTAAACATCTTGGCAACATAGACGAAGAACCTACGATACTGTCTATTATCGACTCGTGTGCATTTTTCATATTGGGTTATACAGTAATGCCAGCAAAGCATAATGCGATAGAACTTATATTGGACAAATGTCACAAAAGCCTGATGTTCCAACAAAGTAAGTTCAAAACTTTGTCCACTAAATATGATGTCCTTCAGGTTGAAAACTCTGATCTTTCAAATAGACTGGAAGGAATGAGTAACATGATGGATAATTATGAGCAACAGATGAAGTGTGACGGACCGCCTTGCACTCCGACTGACTGCCTCCGCCAATTGATGCTCCTAGTGCTCACCGAGGAATTCCAGCACTCCACCAGACACCACCAGGGTCTCGCCGTCCTTAACCCACCCTGGATCCAAGACTGGGATCCAGCTTCCAGTGGGCAGACCTCTCCTACTTCCAGAGAGCGTAGCAGGAACAGCTCTTATAAGAGCTATTGATTATAATTCCTGGGGAGTATAGTGATATAGCAATCCCCAGGATAGATACATTAGTTTCCCCCACACATGAGATGAGACTCTATGTTGAGGGTAAGCAGGAACAGAATTTTAATGGAGGCACACTGGCCCTTTATGCAAGTTTCCCAACAAGGGTAACACTCCGGTGGACCTTGTTAGGCACAGGGACACAAAGTGAATAAACCACTAAAAAGAGTCATGCAATGAGACACTCCCATACACAAACAATAGAATCCCTCCTCTGTGCTTGGGAGATAATTCAATCAGGAACTGTACTAATCTAACCCAATTATCTCCAAGCACATACAATTTTATGAAACCCCAAAAAGAACCTTAAAAACACATACCTACCCCACTGCCCTGCTGTGGTGGCGTAGCATTGTTTTCCGTTGTGTTTCTTCCTCGCCTGCCCTGCTGTGGTGGCGCCACAAGCGTATATGTTTTACTTAGCATGCACTCACTACTCATGCTATACTTACCTTAACACTTAATCCAGAAATGCGATGTATAGCCTGTAACCTAAGCATATTATAACTTTGAACAAAAAAATCTCCAAGCCAGCATGGAACGTATCCTTATCAATGTTATGCTTTAATATCTTTATACACCATGCTTACTGTTACCTACTACTATAATTCTAAAAATGTGCTGTAACTCAGACATGCATGCAGTTTGCAAACTGATATTTTCCAATGTGATGTTTTGACATGTCTCTAACAAGCTCTATCTTTACAATGCACTCAAAAATAAAGAATATTAAAAAAAAAACACATACCTACCCGCATGCTAGGGGGCCTGTCCCTGGACGACAGCCGCAGCCGCTGGGGAGTGGGACTGACCATTTCCACTCCCTGTAACACACTCTGCTGCTGGGGAGAGAGACAGACTGTCTCTTCTCCCAATAACACATGCTGCTGCTGGGGAGGAAGGATGACACACTTCTCTCCCTGGAATACACACTGCCGCTGGGGAGTGAGACCGATTGTCTCCACTCCCTGTAACACCCTTGGCTGCTGGTGATGGAGAACGATTCTATGCTCTCCCTGGATTGCACACTGCTGCTGGGGAGTGAGACCGACTGTCTCCACTCCCTGTAACTCACTCTGCCGCTGGGGATGGAGGACAATACTCTCCACTCCCTGGATTTCACACTGTCGCTGAGGAGTGAGGCCGACCGTCTCCACTCCCTGTAACTCACTCTGCCGCTGGGGATGGAGGATGATACTCTCCACTCCCTGTACTGCATACTGCTGCTGAGGAGTGAGACTGATTGTCTCCACACCCTGTAGGATACACTGCTGCTGGGGAGTGAGACCGACCGTCTTCACTCCCTGTAACTCACCCTGCCGCTGGGGATGGAGGACAATACTCTCCACTCCCTGAAATACACAATGCTGCTGAGGAGTGAGTCCGACCGTCTCTTCTCCCAATAACACAGTCTGCCGCTGAGGAGAAGGAACGACATGCTCCACTCCCTGTAGGATACACTGCCACTGGGGAGGAAGGACGGAAGACTTCTCTCCCTGGGACGCATACTGCCGCTGTTCCCTGGACCTCACACTGCCGCTGGGGAGTGAGACCGACTGTCTCCAATCCCAATAACTATGTCTGCCGCTGGGGAGAGAGACCGACTGTCCATCTGGGGATGGAGATCTGGGCCGGCTTCCCAACATCCCTGTAGGTCTGGTGGAGAGACCTCAGTCCCATCTCCACCTGTCAACTGGGGGTCTTCCCAGGAGCAGTCGATAAGGTCTTCTATCTCTGGGGCTGGTTGGGAAGTAATTGGTACAGTGCCCGGGTCTCCTGATGACAGGCTTAGTTGCTGGGGAGGAGGGACGAAACTCAGTGCTCCCGGTGGTACACAGTCCATAAGCCCTGTCATGTCAGAGACAGGTGGCATTACCTGTTGGAATAGGCAAACCTAATCCTGTTCTAGTCCCAGTTTGGCAAGAAAAGATAGGTCTGGCTGAATGGCAGCGATCTCAGTAGGGTCCCAGTTGTCTGCACGCTCAGCTCGGATGGACCAGAAGAGACCAGAGACTAGTTCCAATAGTATTCCACAACAAACCAGGGCCATTGTAGTCTCCCCCCTCAATACACTTGAACTCGATTGGCCACCGGTAGAGGTGGCAAGCATGCCACCGCAGGACCCGGTAGGAATCGTCCAGCCACACCTCAGTCTCAACTAGCGTCTCTAGTTCGTTTACCCATTCCTCTGAGGGCTGGTTTCCCAGGAACGTCATCCAATGTAACGGAGCTCCCTGTACCCCAGCTGGGTACCTCCGCCAAGGACCGCTTCCTAGCTGAAACAGGAGACACTTCTGTCCCCAGTCGCTGTGGCTTGACTGGGGCCCTGGAACCGCTCCTTCCTGGATCTGAATGGGGAATTAGCTCTAGTCCTTACAAGGACTGCAAGCTGGAACAGCAGACACAGGAGTAAATCTTCTTTCCCTCCAATAACAGGACAACACACAGTTTTGGAGTGTAAGCTGGAATGGAATTTTAATGGAGGCACGCTGGCCTTTTATGCAAGTTTCCCAACAAGGGTGACACCCAGGTCAACCTTGTTGGGCACAGGGACACAAAGGGAATAAACCAATAAAAAGAGTCATGCAATGAGACACTCCCATACACAAACAATAGAATCCCTCCTCTGTGCTTGGGAGATAATTCAATCAGGAACTGTACTAATCTAACCCAATTATCTCCAAGCACATACAATTTTATGAAACCCCAAAAAGAACCTTAAAAAGACATAACCCCCCTCCACACACACACACACACGCACACACATCCCCTGATAGCCCTGATCTGGGTGAACAACATATCAAAAAATCGCCCGGATTAGTTCAGGAATTTCCTGGAAATCATAGTTGTTACGAAATTGCTACAGACAGAGATAATGTTGTTCATTTTTATATTTCACCCAGAACCTTGATTCGGTACTATAATTTTGTACCCAACTCCCGAACTGATTGTGTGCCGCCACTTAACCCCAGTCACCTCTCTAATAACCGAACGGCCGACCACCCTAAGAGCGGAGTGTGTCTCCAATTGATCGCCCCGAGAGTTACGGTCTGCGGTTAACCGCAACCTAATTGACGGCCTCAGGGCATTCACATTCGTGTCCCATCTCCCGATACTCAAACCACCAAAAGGTTCCCGAACAAGGACCCCCTACAGCCTGGCATGTGGCCTCAATTAGAACGTTGGTTTCTGCGGTTAACCGCAGGTTAAGTACCCCTTCCCAGTGGTCTTTATTCGTCTCCCGAACAGCGATGACATCCAGCAACAGAGCGGGGATTCGTGCAAACCCCTAGCCGTTCCCTGTTCCACGAGTTTGAGGTCGAGGTCCCGCTGCCTATTCATTCACTTAAAAACATGGCCGCCAACTCAAGCCCGGGACCAAAGACACGAACAGACTTTATAACGAGGAAACTCAGCGTACAGTTCGTGGGTTCTGAGCGCTCTTCGGCTAATTGTTTCGCACAGACCAGGGCTATATAATGAATGGTAGAAGGCCTGAATTATATATGAAACTGTTAAAGTTATGTATTTTTATCCTGTTTTTTATGTGGCAAGGAAACGTGGTATTTTGGGCGCTTGGAGATAATTGTATTGTCCTAACCGTTGAATTCATTATCTCCAAGCTGGGCGGTAACAATTTCAAAAGCTACATTGTACTCTTATTGGTTAAACACTTGTATTGTCCCTGTATCCCATCAGTTCCAGAGGGGGCTGTCCCTGGACCTGAGATTTTGCATAAATACTGATACCTGTGTGCCATTAAAGCCAGTTCTTGCTTGACCTTCAAATCGCAGCTTCGACTCGTTTTGTGGGGAAACGGTATCCTAGCTGTACCACAGCTAGTGGGATTGTTCTATACTTAAAGGATTCCTATGGACTACTAGCTGAAGCGGCCTCTCTCTATCTCGGGGATCCAGATCATCCAAGCGGTCCAGCCTGGGAGTAACCGTAACATTTGGTGGCAGCGGCGGGATCATTCTGGAGATACCGAACGGATGGAGAGCGCTTATGACAAATTGAAACGCACTACCTTAAAGGACTTACTTGAAAGCCGAGGTGGGAACGCAAGCAACCGGCCGAGGAGGGAGCTGATCGCAGAGCTGACGGAACTGGATCAAAGCTTCACCATGGCAGAAGCCCCGATGACGACTGGTGACGAAAAAAACAGGATTGTTCAGGAGAGGCTCTCACTATACGGGGCCGAACCCCTCAATGGAACTGGTACAACAGCTGATGGCGGAAGCAGACGAGGACATCCAGAAAGCTAGAGCCCACGAGCTCAGCCTGGTGACCGCACACCGCACCGCCGACGCAACCCCGACCTTAATTCCTGCAGAGAACGCAGGGAGGCCAAAGATACCCTATGTGGCTTTTAGACCTTTCCTGGAGAACGAGACGGGGATTGATGAATACTTGGTGGATTTTGAGCGGCAATGTGCACTGCACCAGATTCCTAACAAAGAGTGGCCTACGATATTGTCTGGAAAATTATCGGGGCGAGCGCTAGAAGCCTTCCGGACCTTAAGCTCTGAGGAGGTGACCCAGTATATTCTGGTCAAGGACACACTGCTGCGGCGATACGCTGTGACCCCTGACACATATCGCCGACAATTTCGAAGCACAAAAAAGAAACCCAATGACACTCACATGGAATGGGCACACCTAATGCGAAGGGCAGCAAACCACTGGATGAACGAGAGTAAAGCTGTGACCGCTGAGGAAATCTTACAATTGTTCCTGTTGGAGCATTTCTGTAATGGCATAGAGCAACAGGGAAAGGAATGGCTGCGAGACCGACGACCTGCTACCCTGGAAGAGGCAGCCAAGTTAGCCGTTGAACATTATGATTCACGTCTACACGTCTACACGAACCCACAAACTACCGAACAACAACAAGAGCCAAACCTAAGGACAACTACAGAACGTCCCCTCGC